CCCTTCCATGAGAGCGCTCCAGTCATGTGAGTCATCCCACCAAGTCTCTGTTATCCCAATTAAGTCATATTTCTTGGACTGGGCCAGGGCCTCCAGTTCTTCCTGTTTGTTGCCCAGGCTTCTCGCATTAGTGTAAAAACACTTCAGGTAACCAGTTGATTACCCTATCTTCTCCATTCAAGACAGGGGTCCTTTCTTGCTCCTTCCTCTCTGCATTTCTTCCCGGTATCCAACTTTCCCTCTCCCTTCAGGGTTTTGGTCACCGTCCTCCGACGAACTTAGTTTAAAGCCCTCCTTACTAGGTTTGCAAGCCTTTCCGTGAATATGCTCCTTCCTCTCTTCGTTAGGTGGATCCCATCTCTTCCTAACAATCCTTGTGCCCGGAACAGAGTCCCATGGTCAAAGAAACCAAAGCCCTCTCTGCAACACCACCTGCACAACCACGCATTTACGTCCTCAATTCGACGATCCCTGCCCAGTCCTTTCCCTTCAACAGGGAGGATGGACAAGAACACCACTTGCGCTCCGAATTCTTGGATCCTTCTTCCCAGCGCTACATAATCCGCAGTAACCCGCTCAAGGTCATTCTTGGCCGTATCATTAGTTCCTATGTGGGGAAGCAGGAAGGGGTAGCGATCTGAAGGTTTGATCAGCTTGGTAAGCCTCTCAGTCACATCCTGAATGCAAGCTCCCGGTAAGCAGCACACATCTTGAGATTCCAGGTCCAGGCAGCAGAGGGATGGTTCAGATGTCTCCTTTTTTACTTTTAGATCATGCAAGATCTACTGGTTATGCCAAGGTGGCCTTTTGCCATACTTTCTATCTTTCTTACACAGCAGACTAGCGTGCTTTTTGGGCCCTTAATAATGTCTCTTTGAGAAACTGCCAACTCTCTTCAATTGTTTCCTCTTAGTCTTACTTTCCATGAGACCATACCTACCAGTTCTCTGAGTTTACCAAAATCTGCCTTCCTGAAATCCATTGTCTCTATTTTGCTGTTCTGCCTTCTACCATTCTAAGGCTTAGAATCATTAAGTCTATGATTTCATGATCACTTTCACCCAAGCTGCCTTCCACTTACAAATTCTCAACCAGCTCCTCCCTATTTATTAAGATCAAATCTAGAACAGCTTCCCTCCTAGTAGCTTTTTCAACCTTCTGAAATAAAAAGTTGTCTCCAATGCAGTCCAAGAACTTATTGATTGTCTGTGCCCTGCTGTGTTAGTTTCCCAATAGATGTCTGGATAGTTGATGTCCCCCATCACCATCAAATCCTGCGCTTTGGATTATTTTATTAGTTGTTTAAAAAAAGCCTCATCCACCTCTTCTGCCTGGGTAGGTGGCCTGTAGTAGACCCCTAGCATGACATCACCCTTGTTTTTTACCCCTTTTGGTCTAGCCCAGAGACTCTCAACACATCTGTCTTCTACGTCCATCTCCACCCTCCAAAGCTGTGTCTAGACTGTCAAGTTTTTCTGGAAAATCAGTAGCTTTTCTGGAAAAACTTGCCAGCTGTCTACACTGGCCGCTTGAATTTCCGGAAAAGCACTGATGATCTTATGTAAGATTGTCAGTGCTTTTGCAGAAATACTATGCTGCTCCCGTTCGGGCAAAAGGGCCAGTGTAGACAGCACAGTACTGTTTTCCGCAAAAAAGCCCCAATCGCGAAAATGGCGATCGGGGCTTTTTTGCGGAAAAGCGCGTCTAGATTGGCCACGGATGCTTTTCCGCAAAAAGTGCTTTTGCGGAAAAGCATCATGCCAATCTAGACGTGCTTTTCCAAAAATGCTTTTAACGGAAAAGTTTTCCGTTAAAAGCATTTTCGGAAAATCATGCCAGTGTAGACGTAGCCCAAGTGTATACATTTTTAATGTATAAGGCAACACCTCCTCCCTTTTGTCTCCACCTATCCTTCCTCAGTAAGCTGTACCCTTCTATATCAATATTCCTATCATCTATATTATTCCCCCAAGTCTCTGTGATACCAACAATGTCATAGTTTAGTTTATTTATTAGCACTTCCAGTTCTTCCTGCTTATTACCCATACTTCTTGCATTTGTATATAGGCATCTAAGATACTGATTTGACTTTGCCTTCCAGTTCTGCCATGTCTCTCCTTTTTCTCTGCTATTATAGCCCACGCTCCCTCCTATTTCTGACCTGTCTCCCAGGTCTCCATGTTCTTGCTTATTTAGGCCTCAGTAGTACTTTGCAGCAAGCCCTAGGTAAGGAGCTACAGAGCTACCCCCAAGGAATCAGATTGCATTTCAAATAATCTGGTTCCTCAGGTGCTCCACTCACACTCTGACCTGCCTGCACACTGCACATGTGCAGGCTGATCTACATACTATGCACCATACAAATAGCTGTAGCCAGGACAGGAGAGTAAGGGACACATCTTCCCGGCATAGGGATATAGCGAGGGTCAAAACGGACCTTTCTTAGATAGCAATTTCCTATTTGTAGGCTCAAGAAGTCCTCTCTATTTACTTTTCCATGTATCTCCATAGTTTTTAGTAGCACAATAGCCATTCTGAAGGCTGAGACAAGCTAGACAACTTACTAACACTAGCACTTGACAGCTGAAACTTTGGTCAGAGATTCAGCTAGAATTAGTTTAGCATCAAATCCACATAGCACATGCTAGTTTTGTTGCACTAATTTATGGGTTTTGTGGTTGGTCTTTTATGGTTATGTGGTTGGTCTTTTATGGTTGGTCTTTTATGGTTTTTGTTGCACTAATTTATGGGTTTTGTGGTTGGTCTCTGCACTTCCAGGGAGGAGCAAGAGTAATTTTGATGGCTGTACAGGTGTACATCATTAAACACTGCTTGTTTGTCAGAAACAGAGAAGAAAATGTTCCCTTCCAAAGGTAAGAAAATGTACTTCTCCCCTACCCCCTCAAAAAAACTTAATTACTTAAATTAGTGGGACATAAACAGAAAGAATAGTGATGTCCTATATGTTATACAGAGATAAGTCTATGCTCCGTTATGCTGCTGGAAATCCAAGTGTGAAGAGCAGAACTTGGACTAAAAGGCAATTGGGATAGCTGTGTACAGATGCCCCTGCAAATCCAAGTGTGAAGAGCAGAACTTGGACTAAAGGGCAATCGAGATAGCTGTGTACAGATGCCCCTGTTATAAAGGCAGATCTTCCTTTCCCTAGCAATGGCAGATTCCAACTGCACTCTAAGGGTGTGTCTAGACTACCCTTTTTTTTAGAAAAAAAGTGGCCTTTTTTCGAAAAAACTTCACCTGCATCTAGACTGCAGCTGCATTCTTTTGAAAGTAAATTGAAAGAATGCTGCAGTTTTTTCGACCACAGAAAACCTCGTTTTACAAGGAAGAACACTTTTCAGCAAACAGTGGCCAGCAGCTGGGCTAACTGCACTTATGCTGATCCTTTAGCTCAGCTGATAAAAAGCCCAGTATGACCCAGTCTATGTTTAGACTGCTGACCACTAAGTGCTGAATCAGGACTATCTGTGTATACACAATACCTAAGAGCTTTCCTCTAAGTTCAGCTGCCATTGTCATGCCTCTGACATTCTTTTGTGTCCTGCATTGCAGTTTGTGTGAAATGAGCCAAACAGAACAAGAAAATGCTCTTGCAGAATCTCTGGGAGATATTCTGTGGACAGCAGGAGAAGGTCGGAAAGCCACTGTATGTCTTGTCTCAACTGATACTTATTTTACACCCGATATCGACTACAACGTAGATAACTTGACCGAAAGAGTAAGAAGATATTTTTATAAACAAGATTTGCAGAAAAAAAATGGGTTTTTTAAGACAAATATAAAATCTAATAAATCTGTGCCCTCCCTTATGATACATTACAAATTATAAGCACTTTAAAATCCATGTCACAGCTGGAGCTCTGAAAGGCATTTTTATCTCCTCGTAAAGGCTTTATATGAATCCAGAGGCTATAATTCCTTGATTAACAACTACGATTTCCTCCACCCCCAAAAAGGAAAAAACAAGTTAACTTTATTACTATTTATTTAGTTATCCTGTATACAACTGAATACCTTCGTACATGAAGTCATATTAGACACCTATATTATTCTTTTGCTTCTCTGAAAGAAATATAATAGTGGGTTGAAAACTCCACTTTTAGATATAATTCATGTCTCCTATTTTTTTCTTATGTTCCTGACTTATAGCTCCAGCTGTTTGAATTCTATGAGAAAGAAGCAGCTCAGAAATTTATCTGTGATCATATACAATGTGTAAGTGAGGAATAAACAAATTTCTTACATTGAGTTATTTTGTTGCTTCCCATCCATCCTTATTTCTTTTATAAAAACTGATTTTGCAGTCAGTTTATAATATTGTATTTAATGTGATCTTCAGACTCTTAATGAACAGATCATTAATCATTTTTTATTTTCAATATAGTAAACTGGAACAATACATTAGTTAGCCTCATCCTGCTCTCAGTGAAAATAATGGGAGTTTGGCCAGTGATTTCAATGGGATCAGGATAGTCCACTCTATGTAATGAGAAGCTAAATTTTATGTCAATGAAAAGGAGGATTGCAAAAATACAAACAAATTAAGTAACTAAAATAACTTGTTAAAATCTGCATACAAAGAAAACAACAACTGGGAACAACAACAAAAGATTTCTATCATTCCTTTTTACCTTAATAAGTCAGTGGCAAAGCTCTCACTGGCTGCACTAGCAGCTCATGCATCTGGTTCAGTATTTTATTCTAAGAGTCTAGTAAAAAGTGCAAGGGATACCAATCTGAAGAGTTAATAGAGGAGGTATCTCAACCAATCACGGGTAACTGCCATAATTCCTTTTTGTGGTTGTTGTTTATCAGTTCAAAGCTGAAGGAAGCCATGGAGTGATCTTATTTGTATATAGCCTGCTTTTCTCTAGGATGCTGGAAAGGTAAATTATGTCTTTCTTTTTTTTAAAGCCTACACAAGTTTAGCAATATCTGATAATGTGGTCTATTTCCTTATGACATTGGAAGGAAGGAGGAGAGGGAAGACCAATTAGATCTATAGAAGGAAAAACTGCACTCTATAATACCAACTCTTATCACATGGATAGTGGTGATAGTGACTGAAAGTCAATGAGATATAGACACCTAAATCACAAAGGGGTTTGTCTACACTCGAAAGTTATACCACTTTAACTATACTAATATAGATAAATGATACAACCCCTATTCCTATCCTGAGAACAGATACAATCCATGCTTTAGACCAGTATAGTTATTCCCATGTAGGACAGAGAATAAGATGTATTGATAAAAGGCACTTTTATACTGAAATAACTGCATCCACACTGGGAATGTAAAATCACCTTTAAGTAGTTAACTGATAAGCCAATTAAACATGGGCTAGCACCTCAGATGGGGACTGCTCCTACCGGGTTGGAGCATCCCTGCCTGTGGTGGGCTTCCTAGGGCTGGAGAATTCCCTTGCCTGCGGTGGTGGAGGGTGGGCTACTCCAGCTCCCATCAGCTAATCGTAAATGGTCAACCTCACCCACTAAGGCTGAGGCTTACCAGTTAACTGGTTAATCTTTCACAGCCCTAATCCACACAATACTTGTATCCATATTGTAGATTAAAAAATTATACCCTTCTACACCAAAATAGTTACAGCTATACACAACTGATGTGTAGTCCAAGCCTTAGGCCTTAGCGATACCCCCACTAACATTCCTGTTCAATTCCTGAAGATAGGTATTAGAATTGTTAATAATAGCTATTAGAAAAAGTTAGTGATAAACCAGAACCAAACTTTGTCACCCAAACCTACATAAATCTTGGAAAAGTGTGGATCTGTGTCTAAATTTGAATTTTGCATCAAGCTCCAACTCTAATAGAAGTTAAACTGGGGTGTAAAAATATAGCTAGGACACCACTGCCATGCCTGTAATAAAGGAAAACAAAATAACCCCGAGAAACATACTGCAGTTTTAATTTTTCTTTACAATCACATACTGATGTACAGTTATTCCTGTCATTCTGCTGACACCACAATAATACGTTGTGTTTGGCTGCACAGACTCCAAGAAGACCTAGACTTCACAACACCTCATCTGTTACAATTCAGTCTTGGAAACTTCATCTGTAGGCAGGTAGGACATGTGATTTTTTTTCCCTAAACGGTTCTCAGAAAATACATGTAATCAGCTTACCTAACATTCACAATTGTTAATAAGACCTACCTAAAAGTAGATGGCTTCACTTCCATATGTGATCTAAAGGTATTTCTAAAGCTTTAGAATTGCATTTTACTAATTGACTGTCTTAACATGGGTGTATGCATTTTAGGTAGGGTGACCAACTGTCCTGTTACTCTCGGGACAGTCCCGTATTTGTTCCCGGCGTCCCAACTATTTTTTTTTTTTAAACGGACACATTGACCCGTATTTCCACTGCAGCAGGGGGCAGGGAGGAGGCACCAGCACTCAAGAGCTTCAGCTGCCGAAGCCCCAAGCACCGGCGGCTCCCCACCCTGAATGCTGCAGGGCTGAACTTCATCCCTGTAGTGCAGCAAGGCGAGCAGGGAGATGCCGGCACTCGGAACTTCAGCTGCTGGAGCCCCAAGCACCAGTGATTCCTCCCCATTCCCAACTGTGGGGCTGTAGCCCTGAGCACTGGTGGCTTCTCCTTCCCCCACAAGGCTGGAGCCCCAAGCACCGGCGGCTCCCCACCCTGAATGCTGCAGGGCTGAACTTCATCCCTGTAGTGCAGCAAGGCGAGCAGGGAGATGCCGGCACTCGGAACTTCAGCTGCTGGAGCCCCAAGCACCAGTGATTCCTCCCCATTCCCAACTGTGGGGCTGTAGCCCTGAGCACTGGTGGCTTCTCCTTCCCCCACAAGGCTGGAGCCTTGAGTATTGGTGGTTCTCCCCTGTTCAGGGCTGAAGCCCTGAGTGACAGCGCCCCCCCCCCCCCCCCCGCGGGGGGGGCTCTGTGGGCGCGGCCC